AAGGAAAACCAAGGACAGGGTATGACATTGCTCAATGAAGAGGGAAAAACAATAATAGAAACTTGGAAATGGCAGAGATGCTTAACAACTTCATTGTGACGATTTTCACCAAGAAAGTTGGTGGTGATTGGACGCCTAACATATTGAATACCAGTGAAAACTGGATAGGTTCTAAAGTTAAAATAGGAAAAAATAGGTTAAAAATTACTTAGAAAAGTTAGATGTCTTCAAGTCACCAGGACCTGATGAAATTCATTCTAGAATATTCAGTGAGTTGATTGAGGAAGTATCTGAGCCATTAGCCATCATCTTTGAAAAGCCATGGAAGACAGGAGAGATTCCAGAAGACTGGAAAAGGGCAAATATAGTGCCCATCTATAAAAGGGGAAATAAGGACAACTCAGGAAACTACAGACTGCTTAGCTTAACTTCAGTGCCAGGAAAGATAATGGAGCAAATAATTAAGGAATCCATCTGCAAATATCTGAAAGATAACAAAGTGATAAGTAACAGGCAGCATGGATTTGTCAAGAACATATCACGTCAAACCAACCTAATAGCTTTCTTTGATAGAACAACAAGCCTTATAGGTAACGGGTACACAGTAGACATGGTATACCTAGACTTTAGGAAAGCATTTAATACAGTCTTGCATGTTCTTATCAATAAACCAAAGAAGTACAATGTAGATGGGGGTTGTTATAAGGTTGGTGCATAACTGGTTGGACCACTGTTTTCAGAGAGTAGCTGTCAATGAGGTACATTCATGCTGGAAGATCATAACAAGTGGGGTTCCACAGGATCAGTTTTGGAACTTGTTCTGGTCAATATTTTCATTAATGATTTAGACGATGGCATAGAGTACACTTATAAAGTTGAAGATTATACCAAACTGGGAGGGTTTTCAAGTGCTTTGTAGGATAGGGTCATAATTCAAATAATCTGGACAACTGGAGACATGGTCTGAGGTAAAAAGGTTCAATAAGGACAAGTGCAAAGTACTCCTCTTAGGGTATGTCTACACTACAGAGTTTTTTGGAAAAACAGCTGTTTTTCTGACAAAACTTGAGGAATGTCCACACTGCGATTGCATTCTTCTGCAAGAAAATCAAAAGAGCAGAGGTTTTTTTCCAGCATTGGTAAGCCTCATTCTCTGAGGAAGAAGCCTTTTTGCAAAAGAGCTCTTTCACAAAAAGGCATGTGTGGACTGGGAAGAGAGAGGTTTTTTTGGAAGAAGAGGCAAGAGGGAAAAGCACAGGTGCCCTGGTGCCATTCTGTCCATTGCAATCACAGCTTACATGCAAGAGAGCGTCCATTCAGCCTGCACGCTCTCTTTCGAAAAAGCAGATCGCTTTTTTGATGCACTTTTGCAGTGTGGACACTCTCTTTTGGAAGAAGTTTTTTTTGGCAGAAAGCTTCTGAAAAAAGCTTCTTCCAAAAGAAGCCTGTATACTAGACGTAGTGTTAGAGAGGAACAATCGGTTTCACATGTTGAAAACAGGAAATGACTGTCTAGGAAAGAGTACTGCAGAAAAGGGAATTAGGGGTCATAGTGGACCAAAAACACTGTTGCAAAAAAAGAAAACATGATTCTGGAATGAATTAACAGGAGTGTTGTGAGCAAGACACGAGATGTAATTCTTCTCCTCTACTCTGCACTGATTAGGCCTTAACTGAAGTATTGTGATGAGTTCTGGACACAGATCAGGAAAGATATGGAGAAATTGGAGAGGGTCCAGAGAAGAACAACAAAAAATAATTAAAGGTCTATAAAACATGACCTATGAGGGAAGACTGAAATAACTAAGTTTGTTTAGTCTGGAAAAGAGAAGACTGAGAGAGGACATGATAGCAGCTTTTAAGTACTTAAATGGGTGTCACAAGGAAGAGAGGAAAAAATTATTCTCTTTAATCTCTGATGATAGGACAAAACGCAATTTCAGCAAGGGAGGTTTAGATTGGACACGAGGAAAAACTTCCTGTTAGAGTGGTTAAGCACTAGAATAAATTGCCTAGGAAGGTTGTGGAATCTCCATATTTAAGAGCAGGTTAGACAGACATCGGTCAGGGATTATCTAGAAGGTGCTAAGTCCTGCTATGAGAGCAGGGGAATGGACTTGATGACTTCTTGAGGTCCCTTCTAGTTCTAGTATTTTATGATTCCACAATTCTACATGCCAGAGCATTCCAGGCTCTCTCTCTCCCCATCACTCCCAATATACATATCAAAGCAACTCTTGTTATTGCATTAGGAGATTTGAACATAGGTATTTCATGTTCATACTAACTGACCACATTAAGGAGCAGTGCCTCTGTGCTCTACACTACTGAAACTTGGTCAGCAAGTGTAGAATGTATTACTGTAGTCTTGCCTGGAAGGAACAGGACCATGAAGGAGAATTGAAAGGTCACATGAAATGATTGCAGTTTCCTGGCTAGCCACAGATAAAACTCTTTAAGCAAGTGACCTTCTTTGAACACTTGCAGAATTTAGTACCGGATTAACCTGCTGAATTAGCACATTCATCCTCTGTTTAGATCTCAGTAATGTAAACAAGATATGACACTCATTCGTGTAGACTTGTTAGTAACTGAAAATGCAGTGAACAATGTGAGCCAAAGGTTCAAGTTTATTGTGGATTCACATCTCTAATGTAGGCTGGTTTGCTTGTGTTACAAATTTCATGCATGAATGAAATAGCCTAAGGGGGAATTATATCTCACATGTCATATTTAATGTAGGAAGAATGGACATGGACAAGGAAGAACTTTGTTAATCCTGCAAGAGAGAAGACCAAATACAGATCTTGTCTACATCTATGTAAATGTGGAGTAACTCCACTGAGTTCTGTGGAGTTACTTTGGATGTAAGCTCTTATAAATAAAAGCAAAGAATGATCTTTGTTTCTAATAAACTTAATTATTTTTATAAAATAAAGTATTATTTGCCTACAAGGACATAACATTAAATAGTGTGTCTTATTGTCCAGTTGTTGGTGGTATTTCAAATGTCTATTATGAGTCTATTATTTCTACTTCAGCATCTCTAACTATTCTAATATTAATATTCTAATATTAAGTACAGCATTTGTAGATTGACTTCTGTTCCAAAACAAGCCTGATTTTGGTGCACTCTATTAATTTTGCCTTCTATAGCTTAGTAAACCTGAAATGTATATTTTTATGTTTTGATTATAAATCTTTTAATGCAGAAAGCTGTCTGAGTAACTCAGTGATGGATGTCCACTTAGTCTAGTCAGGTTCATTTACCACCCTCAGTGTGTTATCTGAGTGGAACAATGGTATCTACAACTGTAATAAGATATGATTCATTCTTAATAAATTAAAGTAGAAAATAATCCACTGTTCTTTTTTTTGAACAATCTGCAATGGCGCTCTTCACAATCCCAAAATGTTTTTGGAGGAATACTGCATTCTTTTGTCTCTTTCTTCTTTTTTTTGAACAATCTGCAATGGCTCTCTTCACAATCCTAAAATGTTTTTGGAGGAATACTGCATCCTTTTGTCTCTTTTAGCATTCCTTCCCCTCTCTCATTAAACTGAAACAATACACTATGGCTACGTCTACACTGGCATGATTTTCCGGAAAAAGTGCTTTTCCGGGAAAAGTGCTTTTCCGGAAAAACTTGCCAGCTGTCTACACTGGCCCTTTTCCGGAACAGTTTTCCAGAAAAAGACTTTTGCCTGAACAGGAGCAGCATAGTTTTTCCGGAAAAGCACATCTAGATTGGCAGGGCGCTTTTCCGGAAAAACTTGCCAGCTGTCTACACTGGCCCTTTTCCGGAACAGTTTTCCAGAAAAAGACTTTTGCCTGAACAGGAGCAGCATAGTTTTTCCGGAAAAGCACATCTAGATTGGCAGGGCGCTTTTCCGGAAAAACTTGCCAGCTGTCTACACTGGCCCTTTTCCGGAACAGTTTTCCAGAAAAAGACTTTTGCCTGAACAGGAGCAGCATAGTTTTTCCGGAAAAGCACTGATGATTTTACATTAGATCGTCAGTGCTCTTCCGGAAATTAAAGCGGCCAGTGTAGACACAGCCTTAAAGAGTAGGATTTCTAAATGAATTTTAAATTCAGACTCCTCTGCTATATACTATACCTCCTCTTTTAAAAGCATAATTTTAAAGGTTCTTTAACTAAGGAGCAGTAAGCCTACACCACTTGAATGCATCAGGGAATTATTAAAAATAAAAAAGCTCTTTCTAGTGAAAATGTTTTTTGATATCCATGGTATATATAAAGTCTAGTAGCATATTAGTTTCCTATCACAGTAACATAATCTGCTAGAGTAAAATTTAGAATATTGCTTGAAATTTCTTTAGGTCTAACACTGTTGGTTCTACGATAAGTTGTTATAAAATAATAGAGACAGGCCAAAAAAGCCTAAACTGCCTGTGTACTTAACAAAATGTTGTGACTACCAGTCTATTTTTTTATTATAACTCTTTAGGCCAATGGAATTTATTTTAGAAGATCTAGTCCTGTGTGGCAACAAGTAGTTCTTTCTAAAGCTTCTCATCACTTTCAATGCCCACTCTGGCTGAGGGAAGCAAAGGATGCTCAGGCCTTTGAGCATGAGGTACATACAGTGTAGAATCCCACAAGAGCTGTAAATTGGGGCTGTCTGAGTAACTCAGTGATGGATCTGGTCCTTACTTTACAAAGAACAATTTGACTAGCAGTATACACCGTGCACTTTACAGCAGTCAAGTTTGTTTTCCACTAAAATGTAAGTACTTTAATTTTAAAAATATTGTTAATATTTCAAAGCTGTTTAAATGTATTATTTCTGCCTCTGTGATGCCATGACAGAAACATTCAATTTAGTAGAAATTAAAGATTTTGGGCCCAATTCCATCAGCACAAGTCACATTAACATCCCTTGTTGTTCCTGGCACACAGTGCGCATGTAGAATCATGCCTTTTATTTTCTGTTTTTACTTTGTGAACAGTATGCATTTCCATCATGTCTCATCACAGGGCTTTTCATCTGTATGAATTCCTGTCTGGAATATCTGTAGGCAACCTTGTCAGAATCTAGGGCAGCATTTTCACTGGAGGACTACAGATACCAGTACATTCATTTTTAACAAGAAACGAAACGTTACAACAGAATAAATAACAGCTGTATTCATACCTCACATGCTATTGTGGCAATAATTCTGAAAAAAGAAATCTCTGCAGCATCACTGCAGCAAATCCTTGATTGTGAAGGTAAGTCATACAGTGTAGTCTATTATTTTTGTGAAGAATTGAAAATACTCCTCCCTGTATAAGGCAGGTATGGCCCCCACCTCCTCTGTTGTGTGCATCTAGACTGGCAAGATTTTGCGCAAAAGCGGCTGCTTTTGTGCAAAAACTTGCCAGCTGTCTACACTGGCCGCTTGAATTTGCACAAGAACACTGACATTCTAATGCAAGAATTCAGTGCTTCTTGCTCAAATACTTTGACGCTCCCGCTCAGGGATAAGCCCTCTTGCACAAGAATACTTGCGCAAGAGGGCCAGTGTAGACAGGCACCTTAATTTTTTTCACAAGAAAGCCCGATGGCTAAAACGGCCATGCGTCTATACTGGGCACGGATGCTTTTGCGCAAAAGCATCCATGCCAATCTAGATGCTCTTTTGCGGAAATACTTTTAACGGAAAAACTTTTCCGTTAAAAGTATTTCTGCAAAATCATGCCAGTCTAGAGACAGCCACAGAGTGAGATAGCTAGAAAAGGAGAGAGAATCTACTTTGTGCTGCCTCAGGCAGAACCTGATCTTTGCTCACCAGCTGAGAATTGCCCCATGTTGTGGAGCTCTCAGATGGTAAAGAAAGGCATAGACAGCTCCCTACACCCACGTGGCCAAGAAGCCATGGTAGAAGGTGTAAGAAAGGGGTGCAGCTGTGGTCTGCCAATATGTTCAACTGTTGCTGTAAATTAGAGATGCTCTAACTCCAATAGTCTAGGACTGGTTCAGATTCACCACAAGAAATAGGGAGGCATAACTCACTGCTTGATGGCTTCCTCTTATTCCTGTGTTAAGCAGATCACAGTGCAGGGCCAGGTCTTATCCATAAGATTTCATATACAAAGGAAACCAAGAGAGAAAGCAGGCATGCTGTGGGAAGTGTATAGCTCATCTACAGTGAAGCTAATATGAAATGGTGAGTTCTGCTCCCTGACTTATGAGTAATTTCATTGAAATCAATGGGAATACTCAGAAGAGGAACAGCTGCAATAGAAATCCTTGAGTCTCAAATTGTTTGAGTGCATCCTGAAGGGTGAACTATAACCCTTTTTATAATGAATCTCTGTTTATGAAGCCTAATCTTGCAGTCTCTCTGCAGTCCAAACTCAATAGAAATTTTGCCTGAATAAAACCTGATGGATTGGACCCATAATAAATCTGTTCAGTATTTTTCCTTTGCAAGAAATGTTGGTTTTGCACCCATGAAAGAGTAATGAAGTGTTTTTAACTTGCAAGTGTATAATTAAGAGATGTTGAAACGGCTAATTCCTGCAAAGTGTCAATCACAGCCTAAAAAGAGTCTGTACGCCCTTAATTCCAATCAATTTAAGTAGGTGTTGCTGAGCCTCTTGCAGGATTGGGCTTTCATAGTGAAGCATGTAGTGTAGTACTCCTCAACTAGTTCTCACTATAATCAGTTATGTATTGGGCTTCTTGTGGGAATTATATTTCATGTGCAAAATATTTTTGTTTGTAAGTGTAGATTAGGAGGAGACGAAGTATTTATTTCATTAGAGGGAGCCCAGAAAATGATGCAAAAAAGTATATATTATACCTTAATTTCTGCAGGGATATTTCCCTATGTATATTCTGTACCGAACACAACTGACCTGTGCTTGTGCATGAGGAACTTGAACTCAGAGGCTCTGAAACTCCACTGCCTTGTACTCTGTGCAGTCATTTAAGTACATGCTTAGCTCCTACTAGGAAGCATTTTAGGAAAGATTTGCTAGCAGGAACATCATAGTAACAAAGAAAAAATCCATCTCCATTCTCTGTCCTTATAGATAACTCTATCTGGAGAATAAAGTCAGATCTGCTCCAAGAGTGTATTTTTAGCCAGATAATACTTGTCTTAGTATCTGCCTTGTGCTAAAGACAGAGAAAAGGCATTCTGCAACAAAACAGTGCTTGAACAATGGTTCAAATAATTTCTGACTCATTTGAATTAGAGAGAGAAAATGACTGCAGCTGTATTACTGGCCCAGCCCCAAGCATTCAAAATTCATGAATTATACCGCTGTCTCTCCCAATTATGATGTTTGCATAAGAAATTGAGATTAAAAAAAATACATTCTGGATTCTTTTTATTTCTTTTCTGGTTTGGGAGTCTTTAGGTTCAGGTGGTTAAGCTTTTTCTCCACAACCATAAAGGCCGGAAATGGCAATTTCTTTAATATTTTAATTTCTTCTACTGTTTGTAAAGGCAAAAATATTCAGCATAAGAATGAAATTCTATTTTATCCTCATTAGGTATTGTGCATCGATGGACTGTATTTATCATCCCCATTCTGAGGACCTTTGCACATCTACCATAAATATTTATTCTCACAAGTGTGAACATTGGGGAACCAAGAACATTACTTCACACTCAGAGATCACATCACAGTTTGCCAGTCCAGTGTTTGTTATTCCTACATAAAGCAGGAGCACTGTAAGAATGAAGTTTCTCAACTCATGAGAGGTGGGAGTGCTCTGTACCATAGTTGTTCCAGTTTATCAGCTTGGGTATGAAGACCTGTTTCTGACTTGAGAATCATACAATGAAACCAGGTTGATCCTGACAGGGACTCTTTAGAAGTGGCTGCAACAGGTTTCATGTAGAACTACACTAAGAGCTCAGGGTATGTCTACACTACCCCGCTAGTTCGAACTAGCGGGGGTAATGTAGTCATCTGCAGTTGCAAATGAAGCCCGGGATTTGAATTTCCGGGGCTTCATTTGCATGAAGCCGGCCGGCGCCATTTTTAAATACCAGCTAGTTCGGACCCCGTGCTGCCTAATCCGAACTAGCTAGTCCATGCCGTGTGTAGCCGCGCGGCACGGGGTCCGAACTAGCTGGCATTTAAAAATGGCGCCGAAGCCCGGGAAATTCAAATCCCGGGCTTCATTTGCAACTGCGGATGACTACATTACCCCCCCCTAGTTCGAACTAGCGGGGTAGTGTAGACATACCCTCAGTTACACAAATGGAAGTCTTCAGTCACTCCACCGACTTCATCTGAAGAAGTGGATTATGCCCACTAAAGCTTAAGATACCATATATATATATTTGTTAGTCTTTCAGGTGCTACAGGACCAATTGTTTTCTAAAGATTTTTTTCACTGACTTTAGCTACAATAGAGTATTGAGGAGAAACTCTTCTATCACATTACAAGCCAACATTCTCCTCTGGAGAAGGCCACCTTTGAGCCATTTCTTGTAATCTCCCCTGATCTTTAACACCCTAGTCTATATATTTGTGTCTACACTACAGCACTAATTCGAACTAACTTAATTCGAATTAGTTAATTCGAACTAAGCTAATTTGAATTAGTGCATCTAGAACTAAAAACTAGTTCGAATTAGCATTTTGCTAATTCGAACTAGCATGTCCACATTGAGTGGACCCTGAACCGGGGTTAAGGCTGGCCGGAAGCAGTGCCGGCAGGGCATCAGGTTAGGACTTAGAGCGTGGAGTTGCTGTCTCAAGCTAGCTGAGGGCTGTTCTTAAAGGGACCCGACCGCCACCCCGGACAGACAGTTCTCAGGGGTTCCCCGCTCGCTTGTCTAACTTGATGAGGGACAGCAGAGCAGTCCTGGCTTGAAGTGCCCTGAATGCCCACACTCGGCACATCACAGCACTCGGCCATCAGCCCGGCTGCGCTTGCCGCAGGCTGCCATCTGGGGGGGGGGTTAATTGGGGGGCTGCAGGAGAGCTTCCGCCCCAAGGAGCCACCCCAGTCCTCCCCAGCGGGGGCTCGTACCCCATTCCGCCCTCACCTCCTTCCACTTACCCCTCCCTAGCCCCTTCCTGATGTACAAAATAAAGGACATGTGTGTTCAAAAATAGAACCTCTCTTTATTTAACAAAACTCGGGGGGGGGGGATTAACCTCTGGGGAGACTGGGAAAAGGAGGTGGGAGAGCGGAAGAGAGAGGGTGGGAGAGGGGAGGGCAACTAAAATGATCAGGGGTTTGGAACAGGGCCTATATGAAGAGAGGCTAAAAAGACTGGGACTTTTCAGCTTACAAAAGAGGAGACGGAGGGGGGATAAGATAGAAGTCTATAAAAGCATGAGTGGTGTGGAAAGGGTGCATAAAGAAAAGTTCTTCATTAGTTCCCATAATAGAAGGACTAGAGGACACCAAATGAAATGAATGGGTAGCAGGCTTCAAACTAATAAAAGAAAGTTCCTCTTGACAAAGCAAATAGTCAACCTATGGAACTCCTTGCTGCAGGAGGCTGTGAAGGCTAGAACTGGAACAGAGTTTAAAGAGAAGTTAGATAAAGTCATGGAGGTTGGGTCCATGGAGTGGTATTAGCTAGTGAGTAGAAATGGTGTCCCTGGCCTCTGTTTGTGGAACGCTGGAGATGGATGGCACGAGACAAATGGTCATTGTTTTGATCCATTCCCTCCAGGGTCCCTAGTGTTGGCCGCTGTTGGCAGACAGGCTACTGGGCTAGATGGACCTTTGGTCTGACCCAGTTCGGCCATTCTAAGCTCAGGGCTCAGGGTCGGGGGTCTCACTGGATCACCCTGATTTTCATGCAAACCTGCTCCTGGGTGGCCAGGCTGGCAGCTATCCTGCCCTAGACGGCCACTTTCCTGTGCCTAGTGCGGACGTTGTGGATGAGGTCCACGATCTCCGCACTAGACCAGGCGGGCACCCGCCTCTTGCGGCCCCGGGCAGGCTCCTGGAAGCCGCCAGCCTGGTCCAGGGAAGAGGCGGAGGGCTGGGTAGCAGCGGGTGGCTGGCTCATGCCTTGCCAAGTGCAGGGTCTTCTTTTCAAACTAGGTAAACCTCATTCTACGAGGACTAATCCAGAGCTGGGAGGGGGGCAGAAGAGTTTCCCTGGTGGTGCCCAGAGTGGCCACCAGGGAAAGCTGGGAAGGGCTAGCCTCCCACTAGTTCGAATTAAGTGGCCACACAGCCCTTAATTCGAACTACTTAATTCGAACTAGGCGTTAGTCCTCATAGAATGAGGTTTACCTAGTTCGAATTAAGTGCTCCGCTAGTTCAAATTAAGTTCGAACTAGCGGTTTGTATATGTAGCTCCTATCAAAGTTAATTCGAACTAACGGATGTTAGTTCGAATTAACTTTATAGTATAGACATACCCATATCTAAGTAGCCCCTGGGATTTGTTTCCCCCAAGACCACTTCCTCTCCCTCTTCACAGCCATACAGAATAAAGTTTGCAGCTAGCCTGCAGAGAGATGCAGTCAAAATAACATTGGAAGATTTTCACCTTTGACCAGCATTAAGTAATTTGGGAATAGCAAGATGCTAGAAAACAGCTTCGTAGAGCTCCTTTTATTCCTCAGAACAAAAAATAAAGCTAGGCTTGGAAGCACACTTGTTAGGAACACTCCCTTGCTGTTCCTTCTCCGTCCTTCAAGGAAAGACCTTAGGCATGCTACAAGCAAACTCAAAATCTTTTAACTGTGGAAGTAAATTAGGCTTAATTGAATTTAATGCCACTTTAATTCTGAATAAAAACAACCACGTAGACACTTCATGTGATATAAGTAATCCACTTTAAATTCACACTCCTAATTTATTCAGATTAATGTTCTTAGCAACCTTGTGCAGGCAAGTCCCTAGAAGCCTTGGGACCTTGTCAGAAGCAGAGCTTCAGTTGACCTGCCATCCCAAATTGCTTCCTCACTTTCAACAACTATTGTTGACCTGTACCTCCTTGTATACAGTTGTTTCCTAGACCTGCAGGTTAACTGTTATCTTGCTGGTCTGGAACTCCAGGGCTTTCTAACCCTCTCCTCTTGCCCCATTTGGGATCTAGACAGCTACTATACCTGGTCAGAGTGCTAAAAATAAATTTGGAACAACAACAAAAAAAACAACAACCCCTAGCTATTAACTTAAATACAAAGGGTGAAATCCTTCTCCTTTAAGTTCATAGTGAAACCCAAAGCATCTGCTCCTCAATAATTAAAGCTATACATCATTTTTAATCCCAAGATGTCAGAATACGTTACAAAGGTAGCTATTCTTATCCCCATTTTACAGATGGAAAAACCAAGGCACACAAAGATGCACCATACCCAAAGTCACCCATAAGCAAAACCAGGAATAGAACTCTGATCTTGTAGGCCAGTGCCCTGTCTGTCTCTCCCCCATCCATGGCAAAATAGCATTAAAACTGAGCAAACCTTTAAGGAGTCTGAGTGCTTAATACTTTTAAACTAATGCAGAGGATAGCTGAACCATATTTTTAGAATGTCTCCACTGATGCTTTCCTTGTTCCTTTTCATGGACAATGTTTTCTCTGTTTACTTTAAAAGAGACTGTTTTCAAATCCTCTAAAAATAAAAATTAACTGCAATAACATTTATTAGTGCAGTAATTTGGCCTTTGGAAGGCTGACTGTGATAAATTTCGAGTCTAGCAGTGAAAGGAAGAGATGAGGTCACCCCAAGTGACTTCGAAACCAGTGATTGGGCAGGAGAATGACAATCTGTCCAGATCTGTACTTGGAACAAATTCATATAAAAAGAAGCAAGAGACAACATTGAAAATAAAAGCTATACAAATATAAGATTGACACATATACTTTTTATATTCTGTTGTTTGTAAGAGACGGTAATAAGCTCAGCAGCTAGTACTCCTTAACAGTGAGCAAGGATATGCAGAGGTCTTCCAATATCTCCCACCTAGATATTTGCCTAGTTTTGCAACATGCTACATTAAAAGCATTAGTGAAGTCAGTACAAGGTAAAATTTCATTCAATGACTTGTTTATAATGCTCTATGTTCTATACCTGGAAATGTAAATACAATATTTACATTCAATTGATTTTAGATCTATATGATAAAAATGAGAAAAGTAAGAATTGTTTAGTGATAATGTGCTATGACACTTTTGTATTTTTATGTCTGATTTTGTAAGTAATTAGTTTTTAAATGAAGTGAAAACAAATCAGGAATACTACAATCTGGAAAGACTGAGAGCCACTGCAGTAATGTAAACTAGCCACCAATGGTCACTACTACCCAGGGAGCAGGCAAGCTCAAGAATGCCATAGGCACTCCCCCTCCGCCCAAACTATCAACCATTTAGAAGTACAGAATAGATGCTGCACAGCTGGATCTCCATATACAGAAGGTGTACACACCAAATCTAGAGCAGCTATGTGTGAAACAGATATTAGAGAATCAGGCCTGGTATTTGCAGATGACTCTTGCAGTTGATCAACAGCAGTCTTCACATCTACATTTTAATTAAAGATTTATATCAAATACAAGACTATGTTTATCCAGTCTTTTATTTAGATAAATTTTGTATTCACCAAGTTTTAACTGAGTTTTCTTTCATTCTCTTCAACAAAAAGCAAGATACAATTACTTGACCATCTTCACATTATTCAAATGACTACATTTTTTTCTTGCTCTGAAATTTTATGAGAGCCATTTATCATGGGCCTTAGTTTCTTTACGTTTTATAATTGACGATGTCCTGCAGAATACAAGATTCTCTGTCACTACACACTGCTTATGCTAAACTTATTATATACAACCAATATGGTGCTACAGTATGGATCTTTGTAGCCCACATAGATTACATTTAAATAGGTCTTCTGCTGGCTGAATACCTGATTGTTCAGGATACAAAATC